TTTTCCAAACGGGCAAATCGTATTATTTAGAAATTATACAGAAAGCGCTTTTCATTATATTTTAACTTCGGAGATTGAATTTGACAATTTGTTAAATACGCGTCCAGCTCTACCAATTGGAATTAGTAAAGAAAAGATACAGGATGTACAGTCTTTACTTCAATACTTAAGTCCTAAAGGCAAAATTTTTTTTAATGATTTAATTGAAAAATCCTGCATTAAATCAATTGAAACTAGTTTGACTGAACCGAAATCAGTTAAAAAACGTTGTGAAAAAAGTAAACCTATTAAAAATGTTGCAAAGAAAAGTAAAACTATTAAAACAATTGCGAAAAGAAGTAAAACTATTAAAAAAGATGTTAAGAAAATAAAAAAACCATTAAAAATGGTTTAAGATTATATAAAACAAGTTAAAAATTTGTTATTCTAAGATTGGAGTTAAACTTAAAAACTTTTATATCGTTTAAAAAATGAAATTATTTTATTATTAACAAACTGTAGAATAATAAAAACATTATGATTAAAATTATTGAAAAAATTGACAATATCCGTGAAAATTGTAAGAATGTTTAACACAACTTTATAAAGTATTATTTTTATATTTTATAATTTTATTTAAAATCATCTAACTATTTCTTTGTTAACTGAATATATGTATAATAATTAGTAAAAACATAAAGCATGTTGTAAATTTATAAAGTTAATATTACTAAAAAATGTGCACTATAAAAAAGTTGTAGAAATAAAAAAATTTGTAAAATAAATACTCATGTACAAACGAGAAAAAAGCTTATAGAATTATTAACCATAATAATAATAATAATAATTTTTTGGAAATAAATAAAAATGAATAATAATTTAATAACAATAATAACAATAAACAATAACAGTAATAATAATGACAATAATTTAACAACATAAAAATGACACTAGTACATGTTTCCAAATAGATGCTTTTGCAGCGAAAGCGACGCGCGGCGCGTATTCCTTGAAAATTGCATTACTTTTTTATTTTTCAATAAATTGTTTTGGAATTTTCCAGAAAACTTCCTTGAATACTGAGGAACAACTTCCTTGCGATAAGATTGCTCAACTCAAAACTTCCCTAGATACTTTTTGTCATTGAATGTAAAAGAGTTATATTGCTGACACGTCATTGCTTACAATAAAAAATAATTAAACAATAAATAATTTTTAAGTTTTCTATGATTTTTTTCGTTTCAGTAGACCCAACTGAGATTGTATACCAAATTCCAAGTTAATCCATTCACATTTGTCTTCAAAACGACGATTTATGTTTTAAAATTTAATTAAATTTGAAAAGAAAAATTTTGTTGTTTTCAATTTCTAATGCAAATAATATTCGTCCTACGAAAAAAAGTATTTAAGAAAAAAGTTGCGTTTTTTTATTTACTACAAGATAGCGTTTTCCAAAAATTCAAATTTTGAGTTTGAATTTTTCTCCTTTTTTGAAGCGGCGAAATACCATAAGGGCGATGTTTTAAGCGCTAATCGAGTTATTTGATTGACCTCCTCAATTGTTTCGAATAACTGAAAGAAACATGTACACATGTACACTGTACAATCCATTTCACAAACATCGTCATTTTACACTTTCTTGTATCAGAAAACGTTTTAAAGCAAAATTTGTTAAATTTTTTAATCAAATCATCTCTCTATCACTATTTTAAAGTGTTCTTACATATTAAAACAATTATTTAATATTATATTTCTTAAAAAAACATTTTTTGTTTAAAACAATTCAAAAATACCCGCCGTGAAAACGACTTTTCACGCATTTTCACGGTCCAGAAATAATGTTCATCTGATCGAAATTTGAGGTATAAAAGCACCTTTAGAATGTGTGTCAAGCTTCGTACATATATTGAGTGCTGGAGTAGATGAATTAAGGCAAGTTTGAAATGATGGTACTCCCAACAGCAAGGCGGTGCGCCGTTGAGTAAGTATGGATCGCAATGGCGCCAAATTCAAACCAAGCTGAAAGTATAGCCGTAAGGGAAGACGAAAAGAAAAGGGAGAATGGGAAGTAACTCCCCTGAGACAAAGTTAATTATAAGATCATTTTAAATTTTAAACTATTTGATTTTCCCTGCAGATAAAGCCTCCCAGTTCCCTTACCACTTCGTCGTTAGGGTTAAAGACAAGATCGACAACTGAGACATCACGCGGGTTTGTGTTGGGGATTTTTTTGTTGAGAAAGCAATAGAAATTAGGCCTATAAGGGCCCAATCTAGGGCAATCGTGTAAAATATGGTGGAGGGTCCGTCTTTCGACGCCGCACAGGCATCCTGCGGCCACCTCCCAGCCTATTCGTTCAAAGTGGTCGGCAGTATACATGTGAAAAAATCTGACACGTGTTATAGTATTGATCCAATTTCTTGGTAAGGAAAGTTCACCAAACCAAGGCTTAACCGATTTGATTGTCACCCTGGACAGGTATCGATGGTTACTTCGATCAACCTCAGTAAAAGGCCAGAGGTGAGAGGACCATGAGAGCCGGTCAGGAATCAGGACGGTCTTGTTGATATCACTCAAGGGGGCACCAAAGTTGATTCTATTACCATGAAGGTTAGCCTCTCGACAAGTCGCGTCAGCTCTTTCATTTCCCGAAATGCCCATATGTGAGGGAACCCACATAAAAGAGAACCTGAGATCCCTAATAGAGGGTAAATCGAGAAAAATTCGATCACGGATTTTATAAACAAGTTGAGGGTTGTCTTTAAAAAGAAGACAGTCCCTGATTCTGTTGATCGCTGAAAGAGAGTCCGAGACAATCAGAGTTTTAGAAGAGTGAAGTTTTTGTGAGTATAAAATAGCTCTAAAGGTTGCATACAGCTCTGCTGTAAGAATGGTAACGAAAGGTTGAAGTGGAGTTCCACACGAAAAATTGCGGCTCTCGTCCACGAAGGCGGAAGCAGCGCAATTGGTGTTTGGATTAAGGGTTGCATCAGTAAAAATAATATGAAAGTCTGAGAAGTTAGTGGATATGAGATCACGAAATTGTTTTTCAGGGTTGGAAGAGGTCTGAAGCAGAAGGCCAGCCTGAGTATCACAAGGGACTGGAGCAGACAGGGAGAGCCAGCTCCAATCAAAATAAGAAGGTTTTTTAGTTTTAAGAAATGATATCGCAATGGGGGCAATGCGGCGAAAAGAGTTAAGCAGGGATATGTTACCAGTTTTAAAGGAGAAGGAGCCCGACGACTCCCTTTCATCCAACAAACGGATTTTGGGAATAAGCGGGTTCTCGCTCCAAGACAGATTACGAACAAAAAAGGTGTTAGAAAGATGCGAGCGTCTGATGTACAAAGGGACCTCATCGGTCTCCAATAATAGCAAATAGGTAGGGGTTGATTTTATTGCTCCCAAAACAGTTCTCAGGGCAGCCGACTGGACTCTGTCCAGAATTTTCAAATTTGAGGCAGATGCGTCTGCGAAAAGGGGAGCACCCCAATCCATGGTAGCTCTGATTAGGTTGCGGTAGGAAAGTAAAGCAATGCTGGGGGAGGTGCCCCAGGTTGCTCTTGATACGATTTTGAGAATACCGAGAGCCCTCGTAGCCTTGTCGGCCAACATGTGGATGTGCTCCCTCCAGGTGAGACGTCTGTCGAGTAAAATACCAAGGTGTTTCATGGTTTTATCGCATGGGATATCCACGTCAGAGATGTTAATATGAAGGTGGTCGAAAGTTGCCCTCGATCTGGAGAAGACACAAGCAGTAGTCTTCAAAGGGGACACAAGCACCCACTCTATAGGCCGTTTTTGAAAATTCTTCCCCAGCCTTTCCAGATTTAATAGAAGCATTTACTTATCCCCGATACTAACAACCCTATCAGAAAAGCGAGGAATTACAGGTCACGTGGTACATTGGTATATAAGTGTTTGTATATAACTGTCAGTTGGCGTTTTTTTTTAGAAATGTGTTTGATGCGAGTTAATTTTGTGTAATTATAAATAAAGAAGTAAAAAATATGAGGCTGCTAAATTGATCAATGAATCAGCATTAACACAGGCAACTTTACTTGATACAAATTATTTTGTATGTATTTGAATGTTAACAAAATACTTGCTGAACTTATCACTATATTTTGTTTGTTTACATGTAAATATAACCTAAAAATAAAAAAAAATTAAAAAATTTCGTTTGAAAGTTATACGGCTAAAATGAAACAAAATTAATTATATTTTTATATAGCTTACGCCAAAATATTGCAATTCCTTTATTATTTCATTATGAAACATAATTGAAAACATATATTTTAAAAATCTAAATTATATATTCGTGTATAAATAAGCAAAAATTTACCAATTTTCAAATATATTTTAAAAAAATTTATGTTTTATTTAAAATTTTTGTGTGTAACTTTTTTCTTTCTTTTCAAGTCAAGTCAAATAGTTTTATTAAGATAAAAAATTTGTACACTTTTTCTAAAATTATTATATATCACTTTACACTGTTTACTATTGAGAACAGCTGTCACTAGGCGCAGCCATATTTTGAAAACTTCTAAGTACACCGCTTTTCCGCTAGAGGCGTCATAATCGGAGATATGTAATGTAGGATTTATTCTCATGCAGGGGGCCTATATGCTTAACAAGTAGTGAGTGCTCCTTATACTACTTCATGGTCTGCACATAATTGAAGTACAATATCTGTCCCTCAAAAAATGCAGATGTTGCGTTAAACTTTTCTTAGTGGAGATAATCGCAATTTACCAATTTCAACCAACAATCTTGATTTTTTTATTTTCAATCAATCTACAGGGTCTCACAAGTCGAAAAATTTCACCAATCACAATTTTTTTGTTACTTTAAGTACTTAATTTCATTGTTTTTTAAAAAACAAAAGTTTTTTATTTGTCTTTTTATTTGTTTTAATTAACTCGGAGTGATAGATATCATCTCAATTATTAAATACTACCGACTGATAAATTCAAAATAATAGTATTTATTAATCATTAATTATTTTGAATGGTTTTCAGATTGCTGAGAAAACACCAACAAAAATCAAGAACTTCGGAATTTGGTTGCGATATGATTCAAGGTCTGGAACTCACAACATGTACCGAGAGTACAGAGACTTGAGCGTGAGTGGCGCAGTGACTCAGTGCTACCGAGATATGGGCGCTCGACATCGAGCTCGTGCTCATTCCATCCAAATTATAAAGGTCGAGATCATCAAGGCTGCGCAGTGCCGAAGACCGCAAGTCAAACAGTTCCACGACGCCAAAATCAGATTCCCTCTGCCCAAACGTATCGCGCACAGAAACCAAATGCCGACGTTCAGTGTACGCAAACCACGTACCTACTTCTTGTAAAAAGTTTGTTTTCAATGTTTTTACTAGAAATATATATATTAAAATTTATTTAATAACTTTTGCTTTTTTCACATTCTCTTATTCCTGATATAAAGTATTTAAAAAAATTATATTCCAAAGGCAGTTTGTGCGATACTTGGATAGCTGAAAAGTTGATCTTGAAGATATCGTTAGCCGTTTTTCGATTCATTCCAAAAAATATTTTTTTTGATATTTGAAAATTCTCATTTTTTAAGATAGCAAAAAAAAAATTCAATCAATAAATTTATCACAAATTTCATAAAAAATGTGTTTATAACGCAGAAATCATTTTTGTTGTTGATAAAATTGATGTGTATAACATACACAAACAACATAAATTGTTTAAACAATTTTTTATTAGAGGAGAGTGGGTGCTCCAGGTTTTGTTTTTCGATCAAAACTATTACATAATTTTTTTTTACTACTCTATTATATAGACCTTTAAGTATACGTACAAACACAACTTTTGGCATAATTGATTAATTAAAATTTAAAACGAAAATAGAAATTTTGATTGTTTTTCGAAAATACTGGTTTTATGACTTTTTAAAAACAGTGGGGAGTTGAAAATTAAAGAAAAAGACATATTTTTTAAAATATTCTTTATTTAAATTATGAAATGTAAAAAAGTAAGATAACTTACATATAATAAAGTAATAAATAAGATAATAAAAGATTATTTTAGATAATTTAGATACAATTAAATTATTTTAAAAATAATTGAATTAAACTAGGTAATATACTTCATTTTACAGTGAATATAGATGTAAAAAGTCTCATTTCACTAAAGAACAATATTTAAATTGCATATAAAACATTCTAATTATTCATAAATAATACAAAATAAGAATAGAGAGTGCGTATTAGAATTAAAAACTTTTAAATATAGTGTGAGTCACAACTCCCCATTTTCTACATTTTCAAAATAGTTATACTATAATTAATACATTGAATGTTCAAGGGTTTTTAATGTTTTTTAATATTTAATTTTTTTGTACGTCGAAAGTTATTAATGACAGCTAATTTTTATGCATTATACATTGGATTATTTTGAAAAAATTAATGGAAATGACCTATACATAAAGAGACAAAAAAACTTTTAGAAAAAAATTTTAACTCACTTACTGTACAGACATGAAAAATGCTTCCAAAGATGAGGGGTACCACTTAAAAAGTTAGTTCTTAACGAGGAATGAATATGCCAATATTTGAAATTTCTCATATTAATTGCTATAATAAAAAATTAAGGGGGAACACGACTCCCCACTCTTTCCTACTAAAAGTTAAAAAATAGGCTGTTTGCAATTAATTCATTAAATTGTTTATTATATGTCTCTAGGTTAATACGTTAAAATTTTTCGCTTTTGTTGACGTAATAATCGCCTTTTATAAAAACTTACGCTGTTTTTAAGTAATAAAAAAAAATTTCAACTTAAACATTAAATAAACAATTGATAAAAATTTTTTTTCAAATAAAATCAGAAGCGTTATGCAGAATTTTATCATCACAATATTACGCGAGGAAAAACGCAACGGGGCCGTTGGCCGCGTAACTTCTTTTGTCGCAGAATACTTTCGCTAATATCCGACCCCTCTCGCCAAGGTTTCTTTAAAATGCAAGCAAGCAAAGCTATACGCGAGCAAAAACGCAACGCGGCCATAGGCCACTTAACTTCTTTTGTCAATGATATTTGAAGTTCTTTGAACTTTTCTCAAAAATTAATTAGTTTAGGTGAAAAATGTATACGACATAAAATCTGTTTTTTGAGACCTACAACTTTCGTCTAAAAATTTTTTCGAAATTTTGCGTTTTTTACGAGTTAATCGCTTTTTTTGCGCAAGGGCAAACGTGGAAATCTGCTACACTAAGGAGGGATTTGCAACTCCAAGGATCAGACCGTTCCGGAGGAGCACTCTTTTTCTCCGAAGTGTGCGGGGTTGACTTGCTCCTGTGTAAACCGACCCGCTAAAACCACACCCTTAATCGAACCGTCTACTCTTACTTGCGGAACTGCCGTCTGGCTTTACACTTCGCAAGTAAAACGGTTCCCTTGCCTTCGCCACCCAGTAAAAAAAAGAATTGGTGGTAACTTAAACAGAATTCGATTTGTCGAAAAAACCAAATGGGAACGTTACGGTGAATTATTTTTTCTTACTGTGAATTCTTTTCTTTTGAACATTTAAATTGACGTTTGTTTATTCGAGTTTACATTATAAATGAATAAAATAAATGTTTCGAAGTCTAAAAAAGCCGATTTGGAATAAGAAATATATAATTTTTTAAAAAGAAATAAAAGCGAAGTGTGACAGATTCACCGACAATTTTATCAAGTGAGTAGTGTTCATATGATAAATTTACCATATGAGTACTACTCACATGATAAAATTGTCGGTAAATCTGTCACATTTCACTTTTATTTCTTTTAAAAAAATTATATATTTCTTATTCCAAATCGGCTTTTTTAGACTTCGAAACATTTATTTTATTCATTTATAATGCAAACTCGAATAAACAAACGTCAATTCAAATGTTCAAGAGAAAAGAATTCACAGTAAGAAAAAAATAATTCACCGTAACGTTCCAATTCGGTTTTTTCACCAAACCGAATTCAGCTTAAGTTACCACCAATTCTTTTCGCTTACTCCCAATTCTTTTTTTTTACTGAGCATTTCATAGGCTGGGGGCAGGAAAGGAGAGGAGATCAAATGTCTCCTCGCACCCCCGCACACCCCCAGTCGAGCGAAAGATATCATCCGGTCAACCTCTTCTTCTCATATAGGATCTTATATAGGATCTCACATAAATTCATATATTCAAAACCACATAAAATCTTAGGTGTCATGTAAGAAACTATATAGGATCTTATGAAAAATCATATAGGAAATTGAGACATGATTTGAAGTAAGATTCGATTTAAATTCTTACAAACGTATTCTTAGGTAATAAGTTATGTAAATTCCTATGTGAAATCCCACAATTTTTTCTGGTCACATTTTTTCCTTCAATTTCTTATGTCAATTTCTCATGTCAATTTCCTTCGTGTTTTCTCATTAAAAAACATACCAAAATTCATTGCTCAATCCTTAACCAGAAATTATCCTATATCAAATCAAACATCAAATCTTTTTTCGATTCTTGAATAAAAAATTATTACAAAAAAGAAATCATATTAAAAATCCTCACGTGGGATCATATATATGATAGATTTGAACGTAAGAAATCATATAGGATTTCATGTAGATTCTGAAATATCTATATCTAAGATTTCACATAGAATTATATAAAGAAAACAATATAGGATTTCATATAGGAATTTTTAGTTGTCAGACGGCTGTTTATAAATATTAAAAATTATTTAATTAAAAATCAAATAATATTACTGTAATTCATCTGAAAAGAAAAGAAATTGTGCTTTGCAATACACCTTCTGAGTTAGAGCCTCAGCTTTTATAGTATTTAAGACTGATCTCAACTGTGAGAAAAAAAATTAGCACCATCTGGCGGCGTAAGAGTGGAACTATGATGATATCCATCTATATTTGAATTTCCCATATAATTTGCTATATAATTTCCGACATAATTTCTCATATAATTTCCGACTTGGTATCTTAGATGGACAATTAAAACAATGAAATCCACACATGACATCCCACATAAATTCCTATGTGATAAATTCTTATATGAAATCCTATATAGGATCCTATATAGGATTTTATATATGATCCTACATAAGATTTTACATGGATTTTTATAATATATTTCTGTATGATGAATTCTTACATGAGATCCTATATAGGATTTTATGTAGGATCCTATACAAGATCCTACGTATGAACTCATATGGATTCCCATATGGATTCGTCATATAAGAATTCATCATACAGAAATATACATATATATATATATATATATATATATATATATGTATATTTCTGTATGATGAATTCTTATATGAGATCCTATATATATATATATATATATATATATATATATATATATATATATAGAGCGAGAGTTAACACAGTGGTAAGAATAGGTTTTCAACATATGTTGCTTTCTTATAACTAAATGTAAGGAAACTAGCTTACTGTAAAATAATAAATACAAATTTGAAGTAGGGACTTTAAAAGTATAGTCGTAGTCATTGACGCCTTCCCTTTTCTGTCCTTGTCTTACAAACGTGATTCCATGTATATTATATGTACGTTAGAAAAGGATAAAAAGAAAAGTATAGGCCAGAAGGATCTTTTATATTACACATATTTAGATTTTCTATATTACACATATTCTTTTAAGTTCGAATTCAAATAATATTTACATACGAATTTTTTGTTTAATTAAATATTTGCTAAAGCAAATTTTATTAATTGAATACATTAATATATGATAATTGGACTAAAAATGTTTTTTGATCAATATAAGAATATACCTATTTTAACTTTACTTGTTAATTTTTAAAAATTATAAAATTTTTTTAAAATAATAATAATAATCATCAACAAAATATGTTGATAAAATTGAAAAAAAGTAATAAGATCTTCTGTTTTCATAAAACCGTATTCTATTTTTAAGATCTCAGTTAGGTTAGTTTAGCTCAGGGGTTAGGTATTCGGTTTGCGTTCGTTAGGTTGTGAGCAGGGTAGTGTTCTAAAGACAGTAAATTACGTCAAGAAGAGAAAGAAGATTACGGTAATTTACCGGTAAATTACCGGATCGTTTTTTCTCTGAGAATTTATGAGAATTTTTACTTGTACTTTTATCCTTGTCTGACACGTGCGTTGTCATGACAACGTGTATGACGAGGATAAAAGTACAGACATATGTTCCTGACTGTACAATTATTATTATAATGAAAAATATCTTTGTTACAATATATAATATATATATATTAATATATTAATATTGATATAATATTACATTATTATATTGAATCAGGTACATTTATATGCCTGCACTTTTATCCTTGTCTAACACACATGTTGCCATGACGACGCACGTGTTAGACAATGATAAAAGTGCAGGCATATATACCCGACTGTCATCTTGTCAGTAAGAACACAGAGAAAATTAGGGTGCAGTCCCATGGAGCAGATTAGCAGATTAGACGTTGACCAATAAAAAAACAGTCTCTAACTGAAATGCAAAATTTGCCGCGAGAGACTTTTGATTGGCTGAAATCTATTCTGCTAATCTGCTCCATGGGACTGCACCCTTACAGTCTATTATATTCATTGTTCAAATTATTCATTTAATAACATGTCGGTCGTTTATTTATAACTTACATACTATAAAAATACATATTTAAATTTAAAAAAGGCAATTATCAATCACTTAAATGAATATTCTCATAAATTCTCTTTTTTTCGGTAATTTACCGCAATTTTCTTTCTTACCTTCTCAGGTTTCAATTTTACCGAGAATTTTAAAACACTAGAGCAGGGAGTAGTATAAAGGCGTTTGTATACCTCACCTATCTCGAGTATACTTGTGTCGTGTACCATTGGAGTAAAAGAGACAGAAATATCTTTTGTTTCTTTTACTCCCATAGTACACGACAGAAGTATACTCGGGATCGGTGAGGTATACAAGCGCCTTAAGGAGACCGAACGCCATGCGCGGAAAGTGGCCGCACTTTTGGTGATCGTAATTCTCATGGGCACACTTCTGTCGATATCAGAGCTCTTAGTGTAGAAAAGTGGCACTATTTGTCGTCTGCTACTGTGATTATTCAGTGCACATGTTGTTTTTATTAGACATTACACTTCACAAAATATTTTATTTTAAGCGTGTTAAAATTTTATCACAATTCAGTCGTAATTTATTTACTAAACGATAAACCGCACACGATAAACAAACTAAAAAAGCAGAAGTTATATCATGCTTTCTTGTTTACAACGATAGTGTCAGCCTCTCCGAGTGAGGCGCTGCTATCGACAGAAGTGTGCCCATGGGAATTACGATTACCAAAAGTGCGGCCACTTTTGACGCGGATTCATAATGGCCGTTCCGTCTCCTTATACTACTCCCTGGTTGTGAGTTCGATTCCCTGCGTTTGCGAGATTTTCTTCGATAGGGGTAAATAAATATAATAAATTGTAAAATCAATAATTGAGTATGTGTAACGTAAAGATAAAAAAATTTTGTACGATAAATGATTTTTATTTATTTTTTTAATTAAAAAATATTGATTTTTTTTTAATTTTTAAATATTTGTAGTCAGAATTCATGAGAAGTAAGTCAGGAATGTTGAAAACTATTTTATAGAAAGAAATGTCATTTAACATCACAAATAGTCACAGGGTTTAATGATTTATGGTATGGGCAAAAAAAAGGGTCAGCTCCGACCCTCATACAAAATCTGACTACTATTGACGATTCTTTGACTAAACCTCACTTCCCAGTAAAAAAAAAGAATTAGGAATAAGCGAAAAGAATTGGTGGTAACTTAAGGTATCACATCGGCACTAATCGGAGTCAAAAGTTTGTAGCTCGCATTACTACTTCCCGCACTATATTTTCGCCCTCAACTCCCTATACTCTCAGCCCATACTGTACCTACTTCTACAAATACACTCGTACACGTATACCCCACACTAGCAGCGATTGGAAGGAGTAGGAGGTTTGACAACGTCGCTATAAGTCTCGCTTTGACTACTGTGGACTACTGTCTCTCTCTAACTAATGTTACCATCCTGCGATGTTGCCACATCAAAGTGGCGGGTGTGCTATATATTGCAAATGACGTCATGAACTAGAATTTTTAATTTATAATTACAAATAAACGGCACGGTAAATTATAAATTTCTTTGTATATTTTAGTTCCAAATTTATTCCTGAATTCAACATTAGTTTTTGAAAAAAATTTATAGAAAACTTCTGATGATATTTATGAAAATGTTCTTCTCCCCCATACATTAGTCCCGTCGCCCATGCAAAATAAGCAACTTTGATTGCTAATATCTCTGGTTTCGTACGGCGAAAATTCTTCATATTTTGCAAATTTGTCAAGAATGATAATAAGAACATATGGTAAAATTTTCAAGAAAATCTATAGAAAACGGTTTTACCGATGTGATACCTTAAGCTGAATGCGGTTTGGCGAAAAAACCGAATTGGAACGTTAAGGTGAATTATTTTTTTCTTACCGTGAATTCTTTTCTCTTAAACATTTGAATTGACGTTTGTTTATTCGAGTTTGCATTATAAATGAATAAGAATAAATGTTTCGAAGTCTAAAAAAGCCGATTTGAAATAAGAAATATATAATTTTTTAAAAAGAAATAAAAGTGAAATGTGATAGATTTACCGACAATTTTACCATGTGAGTACTACTCATATGGTAAATTTATCATATGCACACTACTCACTTGATAAAATCGTCTGTAAATCTGTCACACTTCGCTTTCATTTTTTTTTTAAATTATATATTTCTTATTCCAAATCGGCTTTTTTAGACTTCGAAGCATTTATTTTATTCATTTATAATGCAAACTCGAATAAACAAACGCCAATTCAAATGTTTAAGAAAAAAGAATTCACGGCAAGAAAAAAATAATTCACCGTAACGTTCCAATTCGGTTTTTTCGCCAAACCGAATTCAGCTTAAGTTACCACCAATTCTTATCGCTTACTCCCAATTCTTTTTTTTTTACTGGGTTATTGTGGTGTGCTGTGACTGCAATCGTAGCAAAAACAATCTCAAAACGTCAGAGATCCTGACTAATTTTTTGACGTTCTGTGATTTTATTTTTAGCAGGGTATATAATTATTAATTTTTATTTTATTAATATATATTTTTTTTTATTTACTTGCAATGAATTTAGACACTTTCCGCGGTTTTACAAAGGCACATTCCAAATTTAGATAAACATTTTCGATGTTTTGGGCTCGATAATCCTTTCGTAAATACATCTGCCGTCATGTCATTCGTTGGAACATAACTCACGGATATCCGATTTCGGACAGGAATCTCAACAGGTAAGTAGCTTCCTTCGCAGCCTCCGCTAACCCCATGTATTCTGCTTCTGTGCTTGACTGTGCCACAGTCCGCTGTTTCCTGGCTTCCCAGGTTATTGCGCCTTTCGCCAGTATGAATACAAGTCCGGTGTAGGATTTTCTGTCTACGGGGCAGCTTCCCCAGTCTGAATCTACAAAACCTTCAAGTTGTTTAGAGTCCTTTTCATACCTTAAACCGAGCTTCGTAGTTCCTCTGAGGTATCTCAGGATCCGCTTGGCTGCAATCCAATGATCCTTGCCATTCGTGTTGTTGAATTGACTCAAATGATTCACGGCGTAAGCTATGTCTGGTCTCGTTCCAATGGCTAGGTACATCAGGCACCCTATGAGTTCTCTGAAAGGAAAGGTCTCAAGTTCTCCGGTTTCTGATTGATCAATTTTCTGCAACTTTAATCCTGGAACTAATGGAGTAGATACTGGTCTTGAGTTTTCCATTCCGAATCTCTTGAGCACGGTTTCGATGTAACCTGATTGGGACATTTCCAGGAATCCATCTCCTTGTTTAAACTCCATTCCTAGACAGTTCCTGATTTTTTCCAAATCCTTCGTTTCAAATCTTTGTCCAAACGATCCTTGAATTCCAGCATCCAGGTGAGATCGTTCGACATTAAGAGGAAATCGTCAACGTAAATCGCAACGATTAAAATCTTGTTATCGTGATTTTTTATATAAACACAAACATCTGCACTTAATGGTACCAATCCTAGGAGTTGCAGTTCAGCATCAAGTTTCCTGTACTACTGTCGACCAGCCTGTTTCAAGCCATAGATGGATTTTCTTAGTAAACAAACTTGATTACCTTGACGTATTTTCTCCAACATTTTCATGGCTGTTCCGTCCGGTTCCACACGACCTGATCGCAATTTCTTCTTCCTGATGATCGCAGGCAATATATCTTCTAGTAAATTCGGGACCTCCATGTAGACACTTTCCTCCAGGTTATCATTCAAGAATGCTGTAGTGACGTCCAATTGATGAATGATTAAATCATGTTTTACAGCAAGAGCCATCAGCCATCTCACTGATCCAAGTCTCACCACTGGAGCGAACGTTTCGTTGAAGTCGATTCCCGGTCTCTGCGAGTAACCTTGGGTTACGAAGCGCGATTTTCGTTTTTCCAGGTTCCCTTCTGTGTCAATTTTGTTCCTGAGCTCGAGTCTATTTCCAACGGTGATGTAGTTCACCGGACGATTCATTAAATCCCAGGTATGATTCTTGATCAGAGATTCATACTCTTCTTCGATAGAACAATTCCAATCGTCGGCATCACTTCCGCTTAGAGCCTTCATTGTATCCCTTTCTAGGTCGACCGCGATTTCCAGTTCTGATTGTGGCAGGTCTTCCTGGTCGTCGTCTCTCTCTTTGTATTAGTTCATCATTCTCGACGTGTTCCTCCGGTGGTTGCTCGAATCCAATGAAGTCCTCGTCGTCACTGGAAACTGCGTCTTCATGAGGATTCATGACGTCGTTCCCTTTTTGTTCTGTCGATGAGTACTCGACATCCACCTAATTTTTCACTTCGGTAGGATTTTTACGTTCTTTTCTTTCCAGAGATTTCACTGAGATGAAATCATCGAATTTTTCTTTTGGGAGGAATTCGTTCGTCAGTTTGATGTCTCGTGTTACTTGGACCTTCTTGTCTTCGGTCAGACAAACTCTGCAACCTTTAGATTCAGCCGCGTATCCTAGAAAGATACATTTACGAGCTCGAGGTTCCAATTTTCCTTTTCCAGGCGATTTGTCGAGTGCATATCCTTTGCAACCGAAGGTCTTCAAGTGAGCTAGGTCGAGATGTTTTCCTGTCAATAATTCCAGGGGAATTTTTCCATTTAGGCTTCTAGAGGGGCATCTATTTCTTATATGATTAGCTGTCAAAACAGCCTCCGCCCAGAATGTTGTGGCAAATTCGAGTCGATTAATAGGCAGATGAAACGGTTGATCTTTCTTGCTCCTATGGTCTAGGGAATGATGCTAATAAATATTATCTCTGGAGAAGAGAGTCCTCCGAGGTATATGAGAAATTTTCCCCTGATTCCTCTCAGCCTTTTATTGTTCTGATAGAGTCGTCATTACCAGGGAAAAATGTAGGGAATGTAGGGAAACTTCGAGTGAGAAATTCCTTTCGGCACTGTTTCCGAAATCGGATGTATCTTCCAAGAACACTTCCATAGAGGAAATAGATTTATAAGTTTTGTGGTTCGTCTCGTCCCCAATCTGTTTATTTTAATATTTTATAATTTGTTTGGTCAGTTGATCGTTTTAGTATGTCGCTCAATAATTTAAAAATAAGTTTATGGAATGCCCGCAGCGTGGTACACAGGAAGACTGAGGTCGAATCAATTCTACATACACATCAACTGGACGTTTTGTGCATTACTGAGACCTGGCTTACACGAGAGTTAACTTTCAACATCTTTGGCTATACAGTGCACAGCCCTATTGAAAATCCGCACATGGGAAACCACATGGGATCCCATATAAATCCTCATGGGAAATTGGGACAGGAATTGGCATAGGAAAATATCAAAAAAAGGTTCCTCATTTCCCATGTCATTTCCTATGTCAAATCCCACGTCAAATATCATGTTAAATACCATGTTAAATACTAATTGAGATCCTTTATCATTTTTTTGAAAAATTTTCCCATGTCAAACCCCACGTCATTTCCCAAGTAAAAACCTTTATCATTTTTTTGAAAAATTTTCCCATGTCAAATCCTCTTTTGCCTTATCGAAAATACCCACATGGGAAAGCATATGGGAATCCACATATGACACCATATGGGAATCCACATATGACACCATATGGGAATCCACATATGACACCATATGGGAATCCATATGGGATATGGAATACGATTTCATGTGCATTCTTTCAAATGATAAAACAAATAGATTTAAGCATAGGAAATCATATAAGATTTCATATAGATTCTGAAATCTCAACCTAAGATTTCACATGGATTTACATATAGGAAACGATATAGGTGAAAATATTTTCTCTCACAGTTGAGATCAGTCTGGAATACTATAAAAGCTGAGAGTCTAAGGCAGAAGTACAGTAAACTTTTTTTTATTTTCAGATGAGTTGCATTATTATTATTTGATATTTAATCAAATAATTAATTTTTTTTGTAAACTGCCGCCTGCATAAAGCAGCCAACTAAAAAATTCCCGAATAAAATCCTATATCGTTTCCTATATGTAAATCCATGTGAAATCTTAGGTTGAGATTTCAGAATCTATATGAAATCTTATATGATTTCCTATGCTTAAATCTATTTGTTTTATCATTTGGAAGAATGCACATGAAATCGTATTCCATTTCCCATATGGATTCCCATATGGTGTCATATGTGGATTCCCATATGCTTTCCAATGTGGGTATTTTCGATAAGGCAAAAGAGGATTTGACATGGGAAAATTTTTCAAAAAAATGATAAAGGTTTTTACTTGGGAAATGACGTGGGGTTTGACATGGGAAAATTTTTCAAAAAAATGATAAAGGATCTCAATTAGTATTTAACATGGTATTTAACATGATATTTGACGTGGGATTTGACATAGGAAATGACATGGGAAATGAGGAACCTTTTTTTGATATTTTCCTATGCCAATTCCTGTCCCAATTTCCCATGAGGATTTATATGGGATCCCATGTGGTTTCCCATGTGGGAATGGGATTTTACATAGGATCCCATGTGGTTTCCCATGTGTGGATTTTCAATAGGGAGGGCTGATCGTATCGTGGGAAGAAGGGGAGGTGTAATGATACTGACTAGAGATGGTTTGAGGGTCGAATCTATCTCCACTCCGATTCTTTGTGGTGGCGAATTGGACTTAGTGGCGATTAACATCAGTACTCGTTTGGGAAACATCCCTTTATGTCTGATCTATTGTCCTCCTAACCTAGCGACTGATTATGGTAATTGGCTGACTCTTTTTGATTTAGTACGTTCTTCGTCCTTTCCAATTATCTGCGGCGATTTCAACGCTCATCACGAGAGCTGGGGGTCTAACCATGCCGATCTTCGTGGTAGACATCTTTCTTCTGTTGCAGCTGATCAAGGCTTTTTCACGCTGAACGATAGTCAGCCAACGTTCTGTCCTTTGGACACACGAACGCCTTCCAATTTAGATTTGATTTTTACATTAGCCGAAAATTCTCATGTTTTTACATGTGATGTTACAAAGGACCATTTCGGCTCTGACCATGTTTTGCTTACTGCTGTCATCTCTTGTGAGCCAAATTTTTGCAAGGCCTCTTCTCTGAGATACAATATGGAGAGAGTTGATTGGTTGGCCTATAAAGGCTACATAGAGGATCGCATTCCCCAATTGGTTGGTCTTCTTGAGCAGGGAGTCTCTGAGGTTGAAGTCTATGATATGTTCGTGAAAACTATCCTTGATGCCATTGAGTCCAGTGGTGGCTTTCTGCCTTCAAAGAGCTCACAGTCTTCAAGGTCTCGTCCTCTATGGTGGAGTATTGACTGTGATGCGGCGATAATAAGGAAAAGGGAGGCACATAGGTTATTTTGTTCCCACCAAACTCCCGAAATGAAGCCAACGCCAAGCACGTTGACTTGGAGGTTAAGTGGTTTTTACGTAACAAAAAAGGAATTACTTTAGGTCGATGTGCGAGGACCTGACTCTTGATCTTGGGCTAACCAAGATTTGGTCTGTTGTTAAATCTCTCAGAAGTGGTCCAAGTGGTCCACGCTTTCGAGATTCTTCCATTGTTACTCCAGAGATCAAGAGGCTTCAGGATGAACTGGTATGTGAGGAAATTCCCCCAAGTACTATTCCCCGCATCCCCTTGGTTGATGAGACGGATATATAGTTATATATATAGTTCCCAACTTTCAATTTGGTTTCCGACGTAAGCGTTCGTCCATGAATTGTGTGGCTACCGTCACCACAGACATCTTGCAGGGTTTTGGAAGGGGTAAAATTACTTCGGCTCTGGCAGTGGATATAAAAGGCGCTTTCAACTATGTACGACCCTTCATTCTCAACGAAAAACTAAAAAAGTTGAATGTTCCTGGGTGCATCATCAATTTTGTTGCTGCTCTCACAGAGCACAGAGAGCTTTTCTTCCTGAGCTCCCCCACTGGGAGAAGCTGTGGTGTTGGAGTACCACAGGGAGGAGTGCTTCCCCCCTTTTGTTCAACATATACCTTGCAGATTTGGGTACCTCTTTTCCGTTGCAAGTAAAGGCGGCGCAGTATGCGGATGATCTTCTTCTGAATGCTCAGGGTGATGACCTGCAGGAGGCAGTGGAGCTTTTGGGTAAGCAATCACCCCCGTCTCGAACCGCTTGCGAGAGTTAGGATTTACAATCTCCCCTTCTAAGTGTGTTATGTGCCCTTTTTCGTCTAAATCTATTAATCCAAGGGAGGTTTCGATTGTTGTTGAGGATTTGAACGTTGAGGGCTCATCTGAACTTAAGTATCTCGGCATTATTCTTGATTCTCGTCTTTCTTGGATTCCCCACATCAAGGAGACTGTGGCTTA